ACACACACACACACACACACACACACACACACACACACACACACACATACACACACTGTAAAAAGAAACAAGAAAAAAACAAAAACAAACCACAGAATTATTATCTTCATTTCCTTTCTCCAATACAGAAATCTCCAGGCACCAAGACAAGTGTCCCCTAGCAGACCCCATGCTTCCATCACTGTGCACAGCAGTCAGGAGAGAGACCTTTAACAAGGTAATACCACCTCAGAGAATTGTCTTTATTAGGGTTTTATTGCTGTGAAGAGCCACCATGACCACAGCAACTCTGAAAGGAAAACATTTAACTGGTTGAGAGGTTTAGTACATTATTGGTCATGTACCAACAGGACGAAAACATGGCAGCACATGCTGCTGAAGAGGAGCTGAGAGTTCTACATCTGGATCAGCAGGCAACAGCAAAAGACTATGCCACAGCGGATGGAGTTTGAGCATAGAAGACCTCAAAGCCCTCCTCCACAGTGACCTACTTCCTCCAACAAGGCCACACTTCCTAATAGTGCTGTGGCCAAGCATTCAAATACAGAAATCCACGAGGACATTCCTATTCACACCACCACAAGAATCATGCATCTTCAAGCCAAAAACCCTCAACAGTTTCTCATCATCTTCTGTAGAATAAAGCCAAAGTGTTCCATTTGCAGTCATGCCTTGATGATCTTTGAACTCATCTTCCTCCCAGGGCTCCTGGTCACTTTGACCTGATTACTGTAAATGGAGCCTGTGAGGCATGTCAGGTTTCCTTCTGGCCCACTCCTGTTCTCCTCTCTACTTAGCTAACAATGTATGTCTCCTTTACAGTGAAAAAGTTCTCTGATTAAAAAAGAATAAACATATTAAAATGGCTTTTAAAAAACCAGCAATCTTCTCAGCCTTCTCTTCCTTTAATGTGCTGACTTTTTTCTTCAGTATTGTAATTTATTAATTTGGTACCTGATTAACTTGCTAGAATGTTCATTGGAGCAAAACTTCATTTTCTTTACTGTTGGGTTTTTGTTTTGTTTTGATTGTTTCAAAACAGGGCTTCTCTCTGTGTAGAAGCCCTGGCTGTCTTGGAATCACTCTGTAGACCAGGCTGGCCTTGAACTCATAGAGATCCACTTGCCTCTGCCTCCCGAGTACTGGGATTACAGGCAAGACAACCACTGCCCAGCTTTCTTTACTGTTGTATTTCAAGCACTTAGAGCAGAGCCTGCTACAATCAGAGGAACCAAATAAATACTGGATAATTAATTAGGTGAATGGATAAATAAACAAATGGCTTTTCCACTATAGGTCTCAAGTTCATATCCGGTCCAGTGTCTTCTGAGCAGTGGAATGTTTCTCAGTGTCAACAAGGGATGTTATACTTAGCTTTTCTAAGAAATCTGTGAAGAGGTTGCAAGGTCTTGTCAATCCCTCCCACAAAGTATTCTTTACAATGGGAAAGAATTCTTTACAAGGTTATTTCACAACCCAGGCAAATGTCCTCAGTCAGAAGCAAAGAAGCTTTTTCTTGGTATGTAGCCTGACAGTGCAGGACAATAATCTGATTTGTTATGATTTCCTGTTGGCTTAACGCTTTTGGTAAAAGCAGGCAAAATGAGAGTCTACAGATGAGAGTAAGCTGTGGCCTGCCACAGGCACCGGTGCTTTCCTTTGTAATTCTTATTATTTGCATACAAAGGGTTAGGTTTCATTCTGGCATGTCTTTCAAACAATTTGTTTAGTCGTTTCTCTTCCCCTCCTCCCCTCCTGTTTCCCTTCCTACCTCCCCTGTCTCTCTTCCTCGCTTCTCCCCTGCCTCCCTTCCTCTTTCCTCCCTTGTGCCCAATCACTTCCGGTCACTCCTTTCCACGTTCACATTACAGGGCACCTTTCACTTCCCCTGTAAATTTTCTTTTTTACTATGAACACACGACTTAAGTTTCAGAAAGATTTGTCTAAAAAACACACTGTAATTTTATTGTAATTTATAGCAATGTTAAGTTTTAACATTTACTTTCTTTCTGATATATAGGATTAAAAAAAAAAACAACAACGACAAAGACAGAGAGACAGACATGAGTACCAGATCTGAAATGTTACATAATCCTAATTTGACTACCTTAGCGTCAAGGGAAGCTATCAATGTTATCCAAACAGTCACAGACAGTTTGTGTGGGTGGGGAGTTGGAGGGATGTAGTCCAGGAATAGGGCACTTGTCAGGCATGCATAAGGCCCTAGGTTCAATCTCAAGTGTGGGATAGATAGATAGGTAGGTAGATAGATAGATAGATAGATAGATAGATAGATAGATAGATGAAAAAGGTCTGATTATCAAAATGCCCTAGTTTTATCACACAGTACAGACAGACTCTAGGCTATGGAGTCAAGGCCAGCCTGGGTTAGAATTTCAGAATTTTATCCCTGAGCAGGCAGTGGTGGCTCACAGCTTTAGTCCCAGCACACAGGAGACTGAGATAGCCAGGTCTTTTGAGGCCAACCTCATCTACAAAGTGAGTTCCAGGATAGCCAAGGCTACACAGAGAAACAAAAAAAAAAAAAAAGAATGGCACCTCTGTCAGCTGGCTGCTGACCGCCAGCTGTGTGTCCCTGAAAGGATTATCACATTTACTCATATCCTAGCAAGCCTTAAAAGTTATGCAGGCAGGGTGCTGGGGACATGGTTCAGCTGACAACGTGCTCGTCCCACAAGAACTTCAGTTCAGATCACATCTGTAATCCTGGCAATGGGAGAGTGGATACTGTGTGGCTAACTAGTCCAGGCAATCCATGAAAGACCCTCTCTCAAAAAGTAAGGTAAATCTGACTGATGATGCTCAGCATCAATATGTGGTGCACACGCACACACACACACACACGCACACACACACACACAATTTAACTCTAATGAAAAATGTAATTACCCTGTGTTTGGTGGTATGTACTTGTATCTCCAGCACATGGGAGACAAGGGCAGGAGATGTAGGGGTTCAACGTTATCCTCAGTTACATTGGGAGCTCAAGGCCAGCCTGAACTACATGAGACCCTGCCTCAAAAAGCCTAAATAAATAAATAGATAGATAAATAGATAAATAAATAAATAAAAAGGTATGAATAACAAAGACAATAAAATGTGGTTAAAAAAACTACTTAAGAATAGAAATAGCGATAATCATGGAATAGAAATAGCGATAATCATGTTAGGTAAATTAAATCAGACTCAAAAGAAAAGAATAGAAAAGAAAAAAGTTACAGCGTGTTTTCACTCCTGTTGAATCTAGATTTAAATATATGTAAGCATGTGTATATGTATTAGGATACAAAAGTAGAAAGAGGGAGGGATCAAGTTGAGGCCGGACAGAGTGAATAGGAGCAAAGTACATGGTACATTCACATGAAAATATCCAAATGAAACCCTGTTACATTTAAATTAAGAAGAATATACCCCCATTTAAAAGAATAAATCAACATGTTATTTAGGCTTGAGACTTGGCGTGTAGTTCGGTGTGTGCTTAGCATGCTCATGGCTCAGGGTTTCATTCTCAAAACACTCACACCCCCCAAATATTTAGGATTTTCATGAACACCAACCACCAAACTTTACTAGCACACTCCCCTATCCCTTGCGTGTATTTCAAACCTCAGTCCCCAAGGCTTCAAAGCGAAAATGAAAACGTCAGACACTGCAGTCGACGAACTAGGATTAACTACGAGTTCCTGCAAGCATCCGGGTGATTGAAACAGAGAGGAGGTTCCCTCTTTTCAAACACTTGAACAGAGAATCACCGCAGTTAAGTGGAGAGCAGACACAATGTGTGTTTTCTATAGGCAACTTCCGCCTTCCAGGGTCCCCGGTGGCCCAGCGAGGGTGGGTCGGTGTCCACAGCTGGCCCGAACCCCCACTGCCAGGCCACTTCCCCAACTGCCCACGGCAGCACAAACCGAGCAGGACCCGCATGGAGGGGTAGCAGCGCGCCCTACCTGGATCAGCCCTCGCCGGTGCAGGGCGCTGTGCACACAGCCCGGGACAGTTCCGGGTAGCACCAGGGAGCCGTTACCGTTGCTCACCCGCCAGCTCCCCCTCAAGCTGAAGCTCGGACCGGCCACCGCGCAGCCCGGCCCGCACAGCGCCAACAGCAAGAGCAGGTGGAGACGCATGCTGATTGCTAGCAGCAGGGACCCGGCAGTGTCGCCCCAGCCTCGGCAAGGCCTGGCCACTCTGTCCCCGCCCAGCCCCGGACCCGCCCCCAGGTCAGCTGAGCGCTCCCCGCGCCCGGCTGGGAAGGAATGCGGCCGGGACCCGCCACCCGGGTGCTAGGCAAGGCTCAGGGCCAGGGTCGCTGGGCCCTGCGCCCTCCTGAAGCTCGGCTCCCAGCTCCAGCTCCACCTTGTAAGTGGAAAGGCGCGATGCAAAGCGACAGAAAGATCTGGGAAGCCGAGTCTGAGCATTTGGGAGACCACAGGTGCGCCTCCACAACAGTGTGCTGGCTCTGCAAGGTGAGGTCTGCCGCCACGCAGGGCCAGCAGACTTGCAGACGTGGTCCCAGGCTGCAGGTCTGCAGGCTGAAGGCCCCCTCCATGCGCGACCTGCTAGGACTAAACAGTGCTAACTCTAAACTCGCAGGGTTGCTTCAACCGTTAACGGAGAGGCCCATGTGCTCTCTGTTAAGGGCGGCTGCATCGTGTCCTAAACCTTGTGGAGATGCCTCTGGGGCTTCCAGGAAACTGCATTAGTGCTCCAGGTGAGTCTGAAATCCCCTCCGCTGCTGTGGGGTTGGGCAAGCAACAGAATTCCCATTCGCTGAAGTTACAAAAAAAAAAAAAAAAAAAAAGCAGACCCTTTCGGGAGACGCGTCCTGGGTTCTTATGCTTTTAAACAAAGCATCTCACATTTATTACCTATTAATTTCATGGAGGGGTTGGAGGGGGTTCCTGCCACAGCGTGCATGTGGGAGTCAGAGAACAGCCTGTCAGAGGTTCTTACTGGAGCTGTCATCTTCCACCACGTGGATCCCAGGGATAGAACTCAGGTGTCAGGCTTGGAGGCATTCTCCTTTAACTGCTGCGCAGTCTCGTCAGCCCCCGGGTTCTTTTCAAAGACACCCCCCCACACACACCCAGGGGAGAGCAGGATGTTGGGACACAGAACAGAATTTGAAAAACAGTCAGTATGAAGCAAGGCTTGAAAATTATCAAGAAGTATCTTCTACCATTTAAACAAGGAGTTGAGAGAGGCTTAAGAACAGATGGCAGTGCTCCGCTGTCGAAGTTCAGACTTCCCAAGACCAAAAAGCAAGCATAGGTTTTGAAGTTGGTGTTTCCTGTGGTTTTGATGTCACAGTGTTTAAAAGAAAGATTAAGGGAGGAGCAGGTGCAGGTAGTGGTACCCCAACAATTGGTAAGTCTAGACAAATGGTGACTGGCTGTAACCTATAATCATAGCACTTGGGAGACTGAGGTAGTAGGATCAAGAGTTCAAGACCATCCTTGTCTACACATGGATTTTGAGGCCAGCCTGTTAGTATTTATAAATTATGCCATGCACACAACCAATCTTATATGATGGAGTTTATTAGATGGAGATGGAGAAAGATAGGGAGGAGAGAAGGAGAGAGAGAGAGAGAGAGAGGAGAAAGGATTGGGGGAGGGGCACCTTGGCAGAGAAAGATGGAAGACCTAAACAGCAAGGAGCAAGGAAGCGAGAGAGAGAGAGAGAGAGAGAGAGAGAGAGAGAGAGAGAGAGTTGGGAGTGGCAGACTGGTTATAACTGAAGTACCTGGCCCAGATGATGTCATAGGGTGCAGGTACTGACATAGGACGTTGTCAGGACCCTAAAGGTCCCTAAGAGCGGGCCAGTTGAATTACCTGCACAACATAACATAGCCTGTGCTACAAGAGACCTAGCTACAAAAAATAATAATAGCTGGGCTGGAGAGTTGTCCCAGTGGCTAGAAGCACTGTTTTTGCTTTGTCTTGTTATCATTTGGCACTCAGAGGGCTAGCTCTCATCCACACTGACCGTCATTAGATTTTTGAATGTGCTAACAGGCACACAAGGCATCAATGTGTAGTGCTTGTTTGCTGAGTCCTCAACCTCATTTCGTCTTCTGGACAAATGTACATGCATACAATATGGGATATTCCTTATTTCTTTGCCTCTATTGAGCCTGGTTGTCAATGCACACGTCTGGAGTTCCCATCTCCCTCATGACTAATGTCCAGATTTTTTTTTTCTTTTTGAGTGCTTCTTGAAGCCCGCTCCCATGAATGTACTTGTGAAAGTTGACAGTGTATTTTCAGGTCACCACCTTGTTGATGGCAGAATGTCTCTTCTTTTCGCCACCTTTCTTAGTGGGATCCATTCTACCAGGCCCAAGTTCAAGAGCCCTTGTTCTTGCAGAGGACCTAGGTTCAATGTTCAGCACCCACATTGTGGCTTACAACCTGTAACTCCAGTCCTAGGGGATCTGAGACCCTCTCAGACTCCTGAGTGTGCCAGACATGCTTGTAGTGCATGTACATACACACGGGAAAGAGATACAGACTCACATTAAATGATAACATAAAATATTTTAAAAATTAACGTAATGATAGCAAGGAAGACTAACTCTGTAGATTTAGGTGGGAAATGCTCCATTAGAACTGCTCACCTAGATTAGGAACACAGAAAAAGAGCCTGGCAAATCACTCCCCATCCAGAAGCCACAAGTGTGAAAATTCCTAAACCCCTCAAGAATGAGGAGGGAGAGGGAGAGCCAGCCTGGTGAAGTAAGGTTTCTAAAGCTTGACACCTGCTATAGTTCCTAGACTCTCAAATATCATAAGGAATAAAAGCGTCTATGCTCACCACTAGGACACGGTGTGTCAAGTATGCATAACGGTGGCAAACTAAGAGGACCCCCATGGGAAGTAACAAGTAACAGAGGCACCCTAAGTCGGTCAGAGGTGTCATCCACAGAACACATAGACAAGGTCAGGCAGCTGCAAGAATAGTCTTCCCCTGAGGGAGCCCCGGAAGAACAGCAACACTTCTTTCAAGTGTGGTTATCCACCTGGGAGGAAGGGGGTCCCGGAAACAAGAGCAGCTACAGAAAAGCAAGGGATAGAAAAAGAAACCATTAACCCTCCTCTCTTTAGCTGGGCTGTTGGGAAGAGAAATATTTCAATCATATGTAAGACTAAAATCTTAAACTGAACTGAAGTGAACTTTTTAAATACCTGCAGTGTGCTAGCTAGTTTTGTTTGTTTGTTTGTTTGTTTGTTTGTTTGTCAAATTGACATAAGCAAGGGCCATCTGGAAAGAGAAACCTCCCTTGAGAAAATGCTCCTATCATGTTGGCCTGTAGGCAAGCATTGTCTTGGTTAATGACTGGTGTGGGAATTCCCAGCCAACCCTGGGAGGGTGGGCCTGGGTTTTACAATAAGTAGCTGGGTAGGTTATGGAGAACAAGCCAGGAAGCCCCCATGCCCCATGGCTTCCATTCCTACCTCCAGGTTCCTGCCCTGAGGTCTTGCTCTGACCTCCCTCAGTGATGGGCAGTAATGAGGACGCATAAATCAAACAAACCCTCCCAAAGGCCCTCCTCAAGTTCTTTCTGGTCAACATTTTATCACAGCAAAGGAAGTAAAACTAATATGTGTTATTAAGGAAAAAGGATGAAATCGAAACGGATATCATCAACAGATGTGTGTAACTGCAGGCAGAAGGCAAGGAACCCAATCACCACAAAGTGGTTACAAAAGCATAGGTTATTATCCCTCAGGCTTCCTAACTCTCTTAAGGGAACCTTTTGCTATAGTGTAACCTAGGAGCTCACATCCAAGAAGCCATTTAAGTGACCCAGATGAGAAAAGATCCAGAAAGGTCCCATTTTATTGGTGCAGGCCTGCAATCTCAGCTACAGGAGAAGGGGAGCTGGAGGGTCACAGTTGAAGGCCAACTTTGGCTGTAGCATGAGTGGGCAACTTAGTAAGATCCAGTCTCAAAAAGGGTAACAAACGCTAGGCTCAGTGTTAGCATATTTCCCTCTTAGAAGGTCCTGGGTCTATATTATAGTGTCATCAAAGCAACCAAACAACAGTTAAAACATATTTTAAAAACCCATAGGCTAAATAAATAGGGCTGGAGAGATTGGTCAGTAGCCGGGAGCACTGCCTACTCTTCATGACGATCTGGGTTAGAGTCCCAGCACCCACCTGGAGGCTCATAACAATTTGTAGCTCCAGCGCCAGGAATCTGACATCCTCTTCTGGCCTTCCCGTGCAAAGCATACCTGCAGGGCACAGACATACAAGCAGACAGAATACCCATACACATAAAATAAAAACAAATACAGTATTTTAAGGAATAACACAATTTCAGTCATTTTTAAAATTTTTACTTAAATGATAATTTTAGAAATCTAAGGAAGTAATGTAACTCTCGTTTCTGATCTGGAGTGTTGAGAGTGGGCGTTAGGTGTTGCGACCATGTATCTGACAAGGAGCAACTTGAAGACTCCAAATCTAAAAGAGTACAGTTTATGATGGGGAACGGCAGCAGCATATGCTGGGACACCTAACATCAAAAAGCAGTGAAGGGGCAGGAGCACTGGTTCAGCAGCCAAGAGCACTGACTGTCTTCCAGAGGACCTATATGGTAGCTTACAACTGCCTGAAAGTCCTCTTCCAGGAGATCCAATGCCCTCTTATGGCCTCCTCAGACACTAGACACGCACACAGTACACAGACAGACCTGCGGGCAAAACACCCACACACTTGAAATTAGGCAAAACAAAGAGAATTTTAGAGCAGAGACCCAGGAATGCTGGCGCTCCCCAGCTTCCGCCTTTCTTTTTATTCAGTCCGGGACTTCGGGCCCTTGGGAAGGTGCTGCTCACATTCAGAATGATTTTTTTTTTTTGCCCCATACTTCTTGGGAAATACACTTTCAGACTGTGCAAAGTCATGTCTCCTAGGTGACTGTAAATCCAGTCAAGAGCCAGTGAGATGACGCAATGGATATGGGCACTTGCCACCAAGCCTGAATTCAATTCCCGATTACAAGACTAGAAGGTTGTTCTCCATATGTGTAAAATGTACACACACACTCACAAACACACACACTTTCACACCACCCCCACTACAGAAGCTGTCTTTGAGTACAGTCAACTCATCAGCAGGTATAATGTAGATGAGAGAAAAATTTCTGAGCTTGAAAATGTCAACAAAATCTTTCCAAAGTAAAAATGATAAACACGCTGAAAAGAATTAGACAGAATATCCAAGAGTGGTGAGGCAGCTATGGAAGCTGTACCAGAAATGAATCAGTGATGCAGAAATCTCTACCAGACATGAATTAGTGATGCCATAGGAAAAAGACAGAAAGGAACACATGATATGTTGAGGAAATAATGACTGAGAATTTCACCCATCACAGATGCAGGAAGTTCAGAGAACAGTGAGCAAAATAAATGACAATGATTAAGCAAATATATCTCGGCATACCTTAATCAAATTGTAAACAATCAGAGGTAAATGAAAGTCTTGAAAGCAACAACAGCACATGAGGAAGAAAATCTTGTGAGAACTACGGAGGAGCCATCTTCAGCTGATAGCAAGCTTCTTGGAGGCCTATGCAAGGGAAAGGGAATGGCATGAAATACCTAAAGTGTTGAACAGGAAACATAGCAAGGCAACTCTATTACTTGTGAAATCATCCCTCCAAACCCAAAGAGAAAGACTTCCTGATTTCTTCAAGCTGCTTTATGCTCCCTCTATCCATTTCTTTTCTTTTTTTTTTTTTTTTTTCTTTTCTAATAATGTGGCTGTTATGAATCTTTTATTCTCTTGGGTTTTTTTTTTTTGTTTGGTTGGTTGTTTGGTTGGTTGGTTGGGTTTTTTTTTTTTGTTTTTATTTCCAGTTTAAAAAAGCTTTTTGGAGGTCTGGAGCTGGCTTAGTGGGTAAAGAAACCCATGTAAAAGTGGAAAGGGAGAATCAGCTCCTAAAGCTTGTCCTATAGGTATGCTTGAACTCACACACAGCCCTCACTCCTACTGCCGCTCTCCTTCCCTCTCTGTAAAAGAAGCTTTTCATTTTCATATGTTTTTGGACTTAGAGAAACATCATAAAATTGGTGCAAAGATCCCCCTGTGTAGCTCAGCTAGATTTCTTTAGTACTTCACATATTATAAAAACCCAGAATACTAATCAAATCTAAAAGTTAATATTGATATCATACTATCAAATAATTTACACCCAGATTTTCATTTTCCATCAACTGTTTGGGATGTAACATTCAATGCAGAATTTGTATTCCATCTAGTTATCACATTCCTGTTTCCTTCCAATTTGTGAGATTTCCATTTATAACTCAACATTTTGAGGCATGCTGGGAGTTATTTTTCAAAGCTTGGATTGTCTAAAATTTGATTAATTGGGTTGAATGTGCATGTGAATAGAGAGAACACTAAGAGTGGAGATGTCCCTTTCAATACAGAACACTATATCGGTGTGTATCATGCACAGTAACCTTGCTTGCATGATCAAGGTAATCTCTGCCAGGTGTCTCCAGAGGAAGCTGCAGTTTCCTGCTTTGTAAGTAGCAAATATTGGGGTATGGGATGATAGTCTGAGCCTATGTGAATATCCTGCTCCTGTTAGACATTCACCCCCAAATTCAACTATTGTTGGCCGGCCTTTCCGAAGCCAGTGTTGTGTTTTGTAGATAAATCTGCCACATTCTTCGTCCCTCATTCGTCACTGGAATTCCCAGAGAAGGTGGAATCTGTCCCTGAACTATGTTCTGCACTTCAGTGCTAGGGCTCTAACACACAGCCTGATGCACATCTGGTAAGCATCTGTCTCCAATCTACACTTCTGGTTTCCACACAATGCATTTGAACAGGCCTACCTACCTTACTGGATTCTAACATTTGTCATCTTTACCCACCCCAAATGGCCTTAAAACTCTTAATTGCTATTTTATGCCTCTCCTCAGTTTATACCTTTTTGTTTAGTTCTAGCATTTTAAATTAATGTTAGACAAGCATGGAGCTACATGGTACTTTCTTTAATCACAGAAAACATTGTTTCATAGTTAATTTTAAATTTCTCACTTTCTTTACTTTGAGGTATTTCAGATTTCTAATTTTGTCATTGGTGAGGGGCAGAGGCACAGCTGTACATCATCTTCAGCTGTTTGAGTTCTTTTTTGAGGAGGTACACACACACACACACACACACACACACACACACACACACACGATGCCGCATGAGTGTTTTCCCTGCATATCTATGTCTGTGTATAAGTGTATTGCACTCTGAGTTCAGAAACCAGAATACCTTGAAACTGAAGTTACAGATGGTTGTGATTGCTTGAAATCGAACCTGGGTCCTCTGGAAGAGCAGCCAGTGTTCTTATCTGTTGAGCCATATCTCCAGCCCTGTGTTTGATTACACAAATTTCTACTCCATGTAGGATTTATTTAGGTACTTGCAGTGCCTTTACTTGCTAAACCATTCTCCAAATCTTTTGCTTTTGCTCTTAAGTGAATGCCCCCCCCCCCCTTTTTTGGTAGATAATTTACTAGTTTTTATCTACTCGCTTTAAATTTTTTCTTTCCTATTCACACAATGTCTCAAGGCACTGCTATTTTATTCTTTCTATTTGAGCTTCAAGCTGGTTTACTTAATCTTTAATTTCTATAAATTCTATTTTGGAAAAAAAGAGCCCTTTTCTCTAAATTTTCAAAACTTGCTTTTGCTGCATTCCCACATTATTATTATTATTTTCTTTTTAAGAGTGTAAGGCCAGGCTGGAGCAATGGCTCAGTGGTTAAGAGCACTGTCTGTTCTTCCAGAAATCCTGAGTTCAATTCCCGGCAACCACATACTGGCTCTGGCTGCAGGTGTAAATGCAGATACAGCACTCATAAAAATAAATAAATAAATAGATAGATAGATAGATAGATAGATAGATAGATAGATAGATAAATAAACCTAAAAAAGAAAGTGTAAGTCCAAGCTAGGCGTGTGGGCGCACACCTTTAGTCCTAGTTCTCTGGGAGGCTGAGACAGGTGGAGCAATGTGAGTTCAAGGCCAACCTGGTCTACAAAGCCAGTCTGGGATGCACAGAGAAACCCTGTCTCAGAAAAAAAGAAAATCTAAAAGAATTTAAGTCCAATCAGTAAAAATTACACAGTGGATTAAACTGAAGTTTAATAATTTTAATATAAAAATTAACTAAGATAACACACGATAATAAAAGGAAACCACATGGGACCTCAGGCTGAGGGAGTATCCAATAATACAAACTCAAAAATAGAGTCAGATCCTTTCACATGACTCTAGTCTGTTAGCTAGCAAAACAAACAAACAAAAACAAAAACAAAACAAAACAAACTAACTTGATGGTTTTAGCCAGGCCTCAACCAGTCTGGAGTTACTGTACCATGGACAGAGCATCTGAGATTATAAACAGGGAAGCAGGTGACTGGCAACTGGCAATGCAGGCCTCCTGCGAAAGTCCAGAGGCTCAGGCCCTCTTTGCACAGAAACTTGCAGCAGGAGCAGACCTTTTAGACCCGTTGGGGCACAAACAATCTGCATATGTTCGTTGCGGCTCAGATGACTTTAGGGCTGTGGATGCCCAGGGAACCGGCAGCTCAGTGTAGGCCATCCAAGAACTTGTTAAAGAGGTGCAGAAAGGTTGGCCTGTGGCCAGGGCTGCAAGGGCTTGTACATACACACACACTGGCTTCATACTCCTGCCAACCAACACTCAGCCCTACGCCAGCAATCTCAAGAGAAACCTGTGCCTGCAGGATCCCTCCAATATCTTTTATTAAGGAAGTCCAACAGCACTCTGACTTTAAAGATAAACTCTTAAAGAGCTGGGCTTGGTGGTGCACACCTTTGATCCTAGCACTCTGAGTTCAAGGCCAGCCTGATCTACATAGTTTCAGGATAGCCAAGGCTATATGGAAAGATCCTGTCTCGAAATAAAAAAAAGTGGTAGAACCATTATGTCTATCTTCATGTTTCTTTCTTTCTGTTTTGTTTTTTTGGAACAGAGTTTTTCTGTGTAACCTTGGTTGTCTTGGACTTGATTTGTAAACCAGGCTGGCCTTGAACTCACAGAGATCTACCTGCCTCCACTTCCCAGAGTGCTGGGATTATTTTCATGTTTCTTAAAGCCTTTTTTCATCTCTTGTACTCAGAATTATTTCTTTATATATTTAAGCTCTAATCCTTTAATGAATTATACCTACTAGACCACCTACTAGACCATTAAGCGTATCTTATAGGATTATTCTCTTTAACCTCTAGTAGTTAATAGGTTTTATTGGCATTTTACTAGTATCTTGTTCATTATTTCTATATTTGTGTTGAGAGCGTAGATGAGTGTGCATGTGTGTAGAGGCACTTGTACACAAATACATTTGCATGTGTGTGAGCAGGCCACAGGAGGGCCTCAGGTGTAGCTCTCTCTCAGGAGTCATCCATCTTTATTGAGAAGGGGCCCTGGCACTTGCTGTCTTATGGTTAGCAAGTCCAGGGACCATCAGTCTCCAATTCCCCAGCACTGAGATTATAGGCATGTACCACCACATGAGGCTTTTTACATGTGTTCTGGGAATTGAACTCAGATTTTCATGTTTGTGTGGCAAGCACTCGACTGATCTATCTCCCCAACCCTCTGGTTAGAGTTTAAGTTTCCCTCATATCTATACCATAATGGTTAGATGGTAGAAAGTGAATATCTCCATTTAAATCGTAATCTCTGCCAGGCACAGTGGTGACACACACCTGTAATTCCAGCACTCAGGGAGGCAGAGGCAGGTGGATCTCTGTGAGTTCGAGGCCAGCCTGGTTTACAAAGCAAGTCCAGGACAGCCAAAGCTACACAGAGAAACCCTGTTTCAAAAAAACCAACCAATCAACCAAAAACAAAATAACAACAAAAAAAGCTTAATCTCTGCCATTAGGTGAGTATTAGCCTCTTTTCCCTCTAGTTTTTACACCTAAAATATAGGGACAGTGATATAATCATAAATAATAAATGTACAAGTTACTAGATTTTAAACTTGATTTATAGGGCTGGAGAGATGGCTTAGTAGTTAAGAACAGTAGTTGCTCTTCCAGGGGACCTGGATTCAGTTCCAAACACCCATACGGTGGGCTCACAACCGTTCAATCTGCAGTTCCAAGGGATCTTTTCTGACCTGGGCACAGGCACATGTGTGGTGAATATACCAATGTGAAAACACTCATACATATAAATCTAAGTATTTTTAAAATGAATTTTTAAAATGTTGACATATGTAAAGAATTCATAACAGAACCTAAAAACTAAAATATTATGGCATTATCTAGCCTTTTGAGCTGATACTTTTTTTCTTTCTTTCTTTCTTTCTTTCTTTCTTTTTTTTTTTTGGAGACAGGGTTTCTGTTTTAGCACTGGCTGTTCTGGAACTCACTCTGTAGATCAGGGTGGCCTTGAACTCACAAAGATCCACCTGCCTCTGCCTTCCAAGTGGAGCTGATACATTTTTTAAAAGTAGATTGATACAAAATTAACCATTCAAGATTATACAGGGTAATTATAGAGTGTTTAAAATGTTCCATGGCCATTACTTGGGACATTTTCAGAGACCCCTGTTCTTAGTAGGCAATAATTTCCATTCTTCCTTCCTTCCTTCTGGGTACACATTAGTATGCTGTTTCTCTAGGTTTAACTATTCTGGTTGTTCGTATAATATGGTGTCTTTATGTTTACTTTTGTTTTCTTAATGATTTTAAGATCTAGCCACATTCTAGCATGTATTTTATGACTGAATAATTATTCAAAAATATAAAACTCAAATGTTTCTAATTATGAAAAAATGTACATCTGCATATACATTTCCATTTGTTTAAATGCTTGTTTTCATTACTCTTATACATGTATTTAGGAATGGATTCCTGAGGCATCCAGGGCTGCTGCATGTGAGGCAAGTGTTGGGCTACTTCAGCTGCACCCTTGGCCTGTCAACTTCTGAGGAACTGCCAAACTCCTCTCACAGGTGCTGAACCTCTTAAACTCCTATCAGAAAAGCCCAAGTTTGTTTCTTCAAATCTGCAGCAAAATAATTCTCCATTTAAAAAAAAAAAAAATGTGGGCACAAAAAAAAAAAAAAATGTGTGTATAGATGTTATGTCTGTACCACATGGGGTTAGGGTTAAAGTCTAGAAGGCATCATATCCCTCTTGGACTCGAGTTATAGTCAATTGTGCACTGCTTTGTGGGTTCAGGGAATCAAACCTGATTCCTCTGCGAGAGCAGCCAAGACTCTTAACTGCTGAGGAATCTCTCCAATCCCACAATTAGTCATCTTAATCAGTAGAAAGCAACACCTCATTGTGACTTTTACCATTTCACTGATATTAATAATGTTAATATTCATGTGCTTGTTTGCCATTTGCATATTTTCTTTAGAGAAACATTTTCTACTTTTTTGACTACTGTTTAATAGGGTTACTTCTACAATTTCTTCATATTTTTGAATTTTTAGGTCCTTATAAAGTTTGTAAATGGTTTTCATTCTGTACATTTTTCAGAGGTCCAAGAATATTTTTATTTACATGGCTGTCTCAGTACTTTTTTGGATGAATAGTTTTGCTGTCATGTGAAATGTGAATTGACCAGAAATGCATGGTTCTCCATTTCTATTTCAAAAACCTTTGCTTCCCCCTGCCCCAGTACACCATTTGGCTAGTGTGGCTTTGTTAGCTTGTAGTTAAGTCTAGAGACTGCAAAGTTAGAATCTTTTGCCTTTGTACCTTGCAATCTCATGTAAAAATTTAAAGTCCAAGAGAACTTGGACTTTGACAGGAATAGCAACTGAATCTACGTTGTTTTGATCATATTACCTCAACAGCACAAATCTAATATATATATATATACACAAGATTTCCACACTTGGGCTCACCAGGACTCAGGAAATGGTCTCGTTTCAGTGTGCAAGTTTCACATACCTGTGAAAACTTATTCTCAAAAAAATTTTTGAAGCCATTATAATTAACATTTTACTTTTGTTATAAAACTTTGGTTTCATATCCTGTAACTTAGTGGTGTGTACATGAAGTCTCTAGGAGCTCCCACACATACTACTTGGAAACAATTTCTCCCATTTGAGTTTTTTTTTTTTTGTGTGTGTGTAGATGTGTGTTGTATGCGTATATGCTACGCCTGCACAAGTACTGACTGGGGCCAGAAGAGGGGGTCAAAGCACTCAATGTTATTAGTTGTGGTTGCTGGGACTAACTCCTGGGTCTTCTAGAGGAGGTGCTTTAAGTGCTGAGCCATTTCTCCAGCCTGGTGACAGCTTTAGTATTTGAAAAGTTGCACCACTTTCCTCATTCATAGGCTATTCACTTATTTTAAGTCTGTTTATTGGCTACCAAATTCCTGCAAGGTACTTCCCTCCCCCACCCCCAACCCAAAGACAGGGTTTCTCTGTGTAACCTTGACTATTCTTTACAGACCAAGCTGGCCTCAAACTCAGTGATCCGCCTGCCATTTGCCTCCCTGAAATGATTAAAGGATGAACCACCATGAGGCTCAAGGTTCTCTTTATTTTGGATGTTCCATTGATTTGGAACCACTTTAAATTCTCTCGAGTTTTTTAGGACCACCTATTTTGGCTACAAATCTTTACCTAAGTCTTACTATAAATTCTTATTTCCTCTTGGAGTTTTGACCATGATGGCAAAGTTGATGGTAAAAGACTAATTGTATCAAGGATGAGTTCACAGAAGACAGTATGACACTTTAAAGTTCTTCCCAAGTGTTTACAGAACTGTCCAGTTTGTAATTATCTGTACTAAGAAAATGTACTCTGCTGTGACATAATCTACAGTACTCTAGAGCTGAGACTCAAACTGAGTCACAACCCCACGTGGTAAGCAAATACAGGGGCCATAAACAAGATGAACAGTAAACATATACAAAATGCAATCAAAAAAAGCAGTCCAAAGCTTTGTTTTTTTTTTAAAGAATTCTCTAGGGACTCCCACACGTCACTTGAGAAACAATTTCTTCCCATTTAAAAGACTAATTTTTTTTTCTTTAATGTAGATGTGCTGGAAGTAATCTGAGTGTTTTTGGCAGCACTCTCCCAAGTCACTCTGCACTTCACGCTGGTTCTGAATAACATGCACTGCACATAGCAGCAGGCCACAAAAACAGCAAATGATACTTAGCCTGTAAAATTTATCTACTGTACAGTTTTCTACTCTTACAGACCCAGGCTTCCTAGAAAACCTACATCTCAACCAGCAGCACAGAAAAACAGGCGTTCAACATTATTCTACCACTATTTAGCATGTAAGCATCAGTTCAGTTTGTGTTGGAACGTTTGACTTTTACTGTTTCACTTGTCAACTTGTGTTAAACTGCTTAGGAAATGTGACTTGGGACCAAAGCAAAGATTTCCAACAACTTCTGACCGTAAATATATTTATGCCATTTTTATCTTGTATTTATGAGTAACCTACTCTTCATTGATGATTCCAAAAATTAAAAACTTCAACTAAAACTCTTAACACTGAAGATGCTTTTCATGTAATCACTATACCTAAGATTGATGAACACAAAATAAACCACTTCAATATGCTCCTCTTCCAAAAACATTTAAAAGGAAGATATATACACCTATATACTCATAACTCAGAATTAAGTAAAAAAAAAACATTGGGCTGAGAATAAGGTATTCTAGACAGTAAAGGTTAAAATTTTCTGTACTGTAATAGTGCAGTTGCTAGAAATTTATAGAGACTAACCACAAACTTATCTGTGTGCAACTGCTACCTAAGAAAATGCAGTCATTCAATACAAAGACAAAACCTTCCCTCATGAAGTTTACATTCAAGAATAAATCAAAACAAGATCAAGTATGCACTAAAGAGCAGTAGTCCCAATGCACTCTATATAATTGATACATTGTAGAAAATGGAATGCTCCAAAAATGCCATTGTCACTAGAGATATACCATAAAAAAAGGCATACAGCATGTGGCCTAAAAGTATTGTCTGAAGAAAGCCCATTATGTATCTGCAAGCACCTGGGTGAACTGAAAGAATAGCGATAGAGGTGGAACAAAGATACAAGTTAAAAATGTAATAACTCACTTTTACTAGGATGGAAAACCATGACTAGGGTAAGCATGGTGGTACGTGCCTTTAACCATAGGAAAAGGCAGGCATGTCTATAAATTTGTGGCCAGCCGTTTCTACTTAAGGGTACTCCAAGCTACACAGTAAGACTGCCTCAAACCAAAACCATGGCATGGCACCATTGGCCAATATTGTACATGAGATGGGTTTTAATAATCCAAAAAAATTTAAGTAACGCTTTATATCACATTGTTAGGACGGTTTATGGCATAACAATCATTTCTTATTCGGAAGTCAAGACACCTATTTTGGGTCAGTAGAGATGGGTACTCACATTTGAGGACAAGAGGCAGTTTTGTCTCCAGAGAATGTGAAGCATTCTACATTCTAAAGATGCTCTCTAGATAGCCAGGTGTATGACAACAGGAAGACAAGTGATAAGAACAGGATAAGAACAGCAAGCCCTCTGCTTTTAAGCTCCTAGGGCACCAAAAGTTACTTGTTTAGTTGTGTTAATTAGAAATTAACCCTAGCACTGGGAGAGGCAGAGGCAGGTAGATCTAAGTTTGAGGCCAGCCTACATAGCCACAACAGCCAAAGCTACACACAGAAACCCTGTCTCAGGAAGAAAAAGGAAAAATTGAAGCCAGGTGGTGACCTTTAATCTCAGTGCTCTGGACGCAGAGTATGGTTGACCTCTAGAGTTCAAGGCCAGTTTGGTCTAGAGTGAGTTCTATGACAGCCAAGAACACAGAGAAACCCTTTCTCAAAACAACAAAAAAACAACAAAACGGGGGGAAAAGGCCAGCGTAAACTGTGCGTCTGAGTTAATCATTAAAGAAAATAAGGCTAAGGTCCTAAAGTAGCAAGGAAGAGGGCAAGTGGTGGCCAGGCTCACATTTTCCTTGTCTAAGCAATACCGCACTCTGCATTTGCTGCCAAAAGCCGTTTCCAAATGTTTACCATTGATTTTCTCAATGCACTGAGGAAACTGTTCTGCCTTAAAGTACATCTCATAAGCTCAAAAACAAGCATCTTCAAACCTTAACCTCCACTGTGAGAAGTCAGGTAGCATGTTCTCTAGCTGCAAGTATCTAGAGCCAGTCTTTGAGTCACTCGTTGGTCTTTACAAGGTATTAGGCTCCACATTTCAGTTTTTAAACAAGTCGGGGCAGGACCTACTGGCTTTGTATTCTAAAACATCCCAAATGACTGGTTTTGAATCACTTTGAAAATCACCATTCTAATCCTCCCTACACCAGTTTCTTTATAATAGCTGCTCCAATGTTACATTCAAAACTCAAGCTCGTATTATTAAATCCAAGTGCAGACTTCATGTTAGCTGGAATTACCGAATAAGACCAAAGTGTGTTTAAACACAGACTTTAATGGTAACAATTCCTTTAAGCTCAATTACTTCAGCTATTACAAGTCTTATGCAGATGTCACTATTAGACAACATTTAGTGACTTGCACTGGGTTCCTCATAAAAGACAAATTCACTTAAAAGTGTAACCAACAGTCATTGAACAGTTTTGTTATGTCAACACAAAACATGACTAATTTTAGTAATCCCCACCCCCCAAAAATCACGAACACAGCATGATCAGTGTTTTAAGTATACTTCAACTAACCCATTAAAATAAAGTGAGTGTTTCACTACCCCTGAGACCACTAGTTAACTGTGGTTCATACTTTTAAATGTGAGCACACCCACACAAAGAAACAAACTAGTCAGTTAAAAAAAAAGATCTGATTATCACATTGCAATCCTGCCCAAGAAAAACAGTCAAAAGGAAATTTACCATTAACAGGCCAACTGGACTCTAAAGTTTAAATTTTTTTAAATTTATGCATTAAAAGGTATAGGACACAAATAGTCTACATCAACATTCGGCCTAATACTCACTTTTGTCCTATACCTGGCACTAGTGATGCCACATGGTACTGGGTAGTGTAAAAAGGAGAGCAAATTCTTGGATTCTTTTGAAAAAATCTCATCATGGGTGATCCCAAAGTGTCCAGTGTCCATACATTCAGAATGTTGGTTTTCCAGGTACTCTACTGTTCTCTTAAACCTGGAGAAGCCTCTATGGCTTATTCCCTTAGAAGCGACATATGAAATGTATAAAGCATCAAAGTCAAAGATAAAAAGAACTGGACATACCCATTAATTCTGACAATCAATGGTTTAAGGAAGTAATCTGTAAATACCAAAGGGGAGAAAAGCATCAATTTGAAAGCCAATTAGGGATCCACTGGCTTTATAAAAATGTGTTTGTTATATTCGGCTTTCAAGACATACACTTACTAAAGCTGTTTTGAGTACAAGAGTTTCAGAAAGGATTGTTTTTTTGTAATAGAGCCAAAGAATACTGTTCCTACTCTTGTGGGAACACTTGATTTGAACCCAAAAGTTTAATGACATCTACCCTGAAGAACCCACAATTTTAAGCAAAAGGTAAAATGGGGAAAGGGGTGAGAAGAAACTCAAAATAAAAAAAATTGTATAAGCTGAGTTGGTATTTCCCAATGTAAATACTCATTACAGAATAAAGCCAGAACATCTTAAGAAGGCATGCACTTCACTTCCAGTTTAGAGAAGAACCTAAGTCAACAAATCATGTCCAAATGACATATTTAAATGTTTATAAAAATTAAGCTTTTACATTTATTTCTAGATTTCCATATCTGTGTGCAGACAAGGAATAAGATTGCACGTAAATATAAGCAGTGCAAAAACGTGGAAGTGGAGACATCACATGTGCTAGAAATCAAATACAAGACTAAGAAATAAAGCAATGGATAAATCAAAGCCAGAAAAAGGTGAAAACTACAGGTTCAGAAATAGGGTGAAGAATGGTAATGCCCTTATTACTACAGATTTAGTGGCACAGATAGCACTTGTCAAACAACAATCCAATAGCATTGACTTTTTATTCATTCATGTTAAGTCACCTGAAATGGTATCTGTTGCATTTAAATGCTCATTAATGTAAATGGCTGAACAAACCCATCTCAATGGATAGTCAGTATCCCACAGTTAAGTCACTTCAACACAGCCTCATGACAACTCCCACACCAAAACAGTACTTTATTTTGTAAATTTTGACCCATTATTACTCCCAAGTTATATATATATATATATATATATTCAGCTGTTAAGTGTACAAGATGAAGAAAATTTTAGTTAGAAGGGATGCACCTGGAAAATAAATTTCTTGAACTCCATATACACGTTTCAAAACTGCTGAGTCCCAAGTCCACTTATGAACTCTAGGGCTGCCAGAATCATGTGCAGCATATTAAAGCTACACTAATTGAATAGCTTATTAATTCTGCATAAATCAGGTCAAGCAATGTGTCAACCTGTAACAGACTGCACTTTAACTGAACATGGCAATATATTCAACTCTTTTGAACTTTACATCATCATTTGATGTCAAACAATGAAGCAAATCCCAACAGTATATACAAAAACAGCTTTGCATTTACAAAGGATTGTTTCCCATACTGATTAATCCAGGCAGCTAACTCATTGGTTTATGCAACTTTATTGAAGAAAAATAAATCAATTACTAGGAGAGCTATTAGTTGATCACTCATCCATTGACAACTCGCATCATTTATTCAGTGCTATATTAAACAGTATTGGAAGATAGATTAACTAATAGCTCCAAGCCTCCTAACAATTTAAATGAAAATTACAAAATGTTTTGAGACCCTATTTTGGAATACAAAGGGTGTTTGACTTCCAATTTCCATTCTCTGTAGAACAAGAACAGGTCATTCCTTTATTGACATGCATAAAATACATCACATTTTCTGTTCTGCTGATGCTATAATTCAATACCAATTCTCCAGCCACATCAGTTATGAGCATAAAGTATATCATGTAACCTCAAATCTCTAACAGTGGAAGGCTTAAACAAGAATGGACGCTGCTAGAGTAATGCTGCTTCCTTTGATGTGACAGCTGAGCATCCACCTCCCTCCCCCTCAGATGGCTTCTTCAGCATGTTAGAGCAGTGAGGATTGGTTTAGTCTCATAACCAAGTTAGAGTGAAGACATTGGCCACATAATACACATGCTCCAGTTTTAAAAAAATTTCTGAATCTTGGGCAACTGTTCTCTTGTAACTACTTTACAGTTTCTAAAAGCAGTTATTGTCCAAAGCTGGAAGAACTTAAGTCTTCTCAGATGAGCATGTGAATGAATGAAGGGAGGTAAACAAAAAATAAAATTAAAAAAGATGAGGTCTGATAGGGGAGCAGCCGGATAAGAAAATCAAAAAAGGAACAGTAATTTAAAGTTTATTCCAGCTATAATGCAGGTTATTCTGACTTTAAGGTAGCATCACATGGCATACTTCTGAGTCCATTCCCGAGATATTCTGTTGTACCTGTAAATAAAACAAATAATCTATTTA